AAATCTGTTATGCTTTAAGCAAGTTGAGTGTTGATTGTTTCTTGCTTTTCAATGAATGCATACAAAGTTTCCTCAAAATTTCCTCAAGGAGGTGGAGCATAAGGAGGTGCATATCCATAAGAATTTTAGAAATTATGGTGTGCTTGAAACTATGGTGGTGAAGTTTGTACATTGTCACTCTTCCAACTAAAATTTTGGTGATTTCTCCAACCAGGGTTGTATGTTTGTGAGTATGGGTTGTGGTTGACCCTTTGGAAACTGTTTAAAATATGGGCTTGTTCATGGAGAAATTCCTTAAAAGAAGGCAAGGTTGGATAATTATTGGTTGAGTGTTCATTTGTTTCACATATTTGACACACAATGTTTTCAACAGATTTTAATTGACCACTCTTTTTCAATTCTAGTGCCTCGACTTTTCTAGCTAAAGATGCAAACTTGGCTTGGAATTCATGAACTTGCCGGGTTATTTATTACTTCGACACTCCTGCACTTGGGAGAAGATATCAATCTTTTAGTCGTGTCAAGTTTTTAGCGTCGTTGTTAGGGAGGTAAGTTTTTGTATAAATTATAGTATTTATTTTATTTTCACTTTTCACTTTTCTTGTATATAACCTTGTTTCTTTTGTTTTGTTTCTTCTTCTTTTGTTTTCTTCTTCCTTTTATTCTATTCCTACACATGCATGAAAGTGTGGTCACGTACATTAAATGGTAGACTTTGTAGGGTATCTTCATCATTTTTAGAAAATATGATCGAAGAAGATAATCAATCACTTCATAATGAGAATAATGAGAATAACCATGTTAGAACACTTAGAGACTACATGAATCCCACAAGAACAAGTGCACCATCATGTATAGTTTTTTCTCCTGATGCATCTCATTTTAATTTTAAGCCAGGTATTATTCAACTTTTACCTTTTTTTCATGGCTTAGAATTGGAAAATCCATACTTACATTTAAGGGAATTTGAGGAGGTTTGCAACACATATAATGATTCAAATTGTAGCATAAAGGGAATTTGAGGAGGTTTGCAACACATATAATAATTTAAATTGTAGCATGAACACCATCAGATTAAAGCTTTTTCCTTTTTCATTAAAAGATAAAGCTAAAACATGGCTACAAAATTTGAGACCAGGATCTATTCGTGCTTGGAATGAAATGCAACAATAGTTTTTAAAGAAGTTTTTCCCATCTCACAGAACAAACTCTTTCAAAAGACAAATCATCTCTTTCACTCAAAAACTAGGAGAAACATTTTACCAATATTGGGATAGGTATCGAGACTTGCTTAATACTTGCCCTCATCATGGTTTTGAAACATGGAAATTGGCTTCGTATTTTTATGAAGGGTTAACACCTAGAGATAGGCAAATGGTTGAATTGATGTGCAATGGAACTTTTGAAGATAAAGACCCTGATGAAGCAATGGAGTACTTAGACTGGTGAACTGAAAATGCTCAAAATTGGAACACCGCGGGTACTTATAAAGCACCGAGTAAAACTCAACCTCATACTTCTAGTGGAGATATGTACAACCTTAGGGAAGATCATGACCTCCAAGCCAAGTTTGCATCTTTAGCTAGTAAAGTCAAGGTACTAGAATTGAAAAGGAGTGGTCAATTAAAATCTGTTGAAAACATTGCATGTCAAATATGTGAAATAAATGAACACTCCACTAATAATTATCCAACCTTGCCTTCTTTTAAAGAATGTCTTCATGAATAAGCTCATGCTTTAAATAGTTTCCAAAGAGCCAACCACAACCCATACTCATAAATATACAACCCTGGTTGGAGAAATCACCTAAATTTCAATTGGAAAAGTGATAATAACAATGTATAAACTTCATAACCACCGTTTCAAACACACTATAATTTCTAAAATTCTTTTGGATATGCACCTCCTTATGCTCCACCTCCTAGAAGAAATCTTGAGAAAACATTGCATGCATTCATTGAAAAGCAAGAGACAATCAATACTCAACTTGCTCAAAACATGACAGATTTTAAAGATACTCTTGCAAAATTGACATCTGCTCTTAGTTTCCAAGAGAAAGGTAAGTTTCCATCTCAACCACAACAAAATCTCAAGTGGTAATACAATGCAAATGCAAGTAATTCCGAAAGCCAACACATGGATCAAGTCAAATCAATCACTACTCTTCGTATTGGTAAGGTTATTGAAAAACCCACTCTTGAACCTTGTGAGAAATATGATGAGTCAATCTCTGAGGGTAATGAAGGGGTTGAATCTGAAAATTGCAAAGAAAAGACTGATTCCCCACCAGCACTTCCATTTCCTCATACCATGACCAAATAAAGAAAAGTCAATCATAACTCTGAAATCTTTGAAACTTTCAAACAGGTAAGGATCAATATACCTTTGCTGGATGCTATTAAACATATTCCTTCTTATGCTAAATTTTTTAAAGATCTATGCACTGTGAAGAGGAAACTGAATGTGAAAAAGAAAGTCTTTTTAGCCGAACAAGTGTCATTCTTCAGAACAATAATGTTTTGAAATATAAAGACCCTGGTTGTCCTACAATTTCTTGCTTTATTGGAGAACATAAAATTAAAAGAGTCTTACTTGATCTTGGAGCTAGTGTGAATTTACTTTCATATTCAGTTTTTCAGAGTCTTAATCTAGGTGAGTTAAAACCAACTTCTATAACTCTTTTATTTGCCAATAGATCTGTAAAAGTGCCTAGAGGAATATTTAAGATTAGGCCTCATTCTATAAAATCATACTCTGATACCATTTTAAATAATTCAAAAAAATAAAATGAAATACAAAAATAAAAAAGGAGAAAGCTAAGATTTCATTGATGATGCATGATGTGATCACAATAATATAAATGAATAGATTTAATATAAATACAAGGAGATTATATATAGGCTAATCTAAAAAAAAAAAAAAACACCCTTATATTTGCAACATGTCATCCAATAAGTCATTAATTAAGGGAATTGGAAACTTGATTTTTATGGTTAACTCATTAAGTTGTTTGTAATCTATGTAAAACCTTCAAGTGTTATTTTTTGTTCTTCATAAGTAGCACAAGTGATGCAAAAAGACTAATACTATGCTACATTATTCTATTTTTCATCATCTCTCTAACCAATTTCTTTATCCTTTATTTATGCATAAAAAAACTCTTGTAAGGTCTACAAGTAACTAGTTATACTCCTAGCTTAAAAGAAATTTTGTGATAAATCTTCTCATTAATGGTATACTTTTTTGCTTCTTAAATATAGTAGCAAAGTCTTCCATATTTTTTCTCCTTTCCTTTTGAGAAAGTTGAACATATGGTAAATAATGATAATCTATTTATTTTTCTATCCAATATAAAATCTCTTCATAATCATTTTGTATAAACTTCAAAATTAATGATTGTCTAAAATCTTGCCAAGAAGAAATTAAAGGCATACTAATATGATTTTTAAAGTCTAAAAATTCAAACCACCATTCTTTGGCATCTCAAGAAAGTTCTTGGACGACAAGTCCTACTCTTTAATGATAAGGAATCTTGTTGAAATAAAAGCAAGCTTTCAACTATACCAACCACTTAATGAATCTTTTCTTTAAAAATCTCTCATGATATAGCAAAATCTCATCAAATTCAAGAATAGGTTTGGGGTTTGGCCTAGTTCTTCTTCTCTTTATGATTACTATTTGTGTTATCTATTAGCCAATCTAGATTTATTATGGTTTGCTCCAAACAATCTAGTGTCTGCTCCTAAGTCTGCATGGTGCCTTGAAGAGCCTCCACTCTTGCGTCACTGAAAAGAGGACTAGTATTACCGTCTTTATCCAATTAAGAGGCCAACCTCCTTTGATACCAATTAACAAGAGGTAAAGCATGGTTAAAAGTTAGGATTTCTAAGCTTTAAGGTTATCGACCGAAGTTATAAAAAAATTTATAAAAAAAAAACTTTACGGTGTTTTATTAAAAGTCTTAATAATAATTTTATTCTCAAAATAAACTACATCCCTCTATTTATTTTAGTTTTAATTTTTTTATGGGAAAGGATTCCTAATTAAAACTAAAATCTTTTATGGAAAAGGATTTCTAATTAAAACTTACCTAATTAATAAAATTCATATAGCATTAGGATGTTTAAATAGTAAAATACTAAATAAATTAAAATTCCTAAGCTAAATAGAAAAAAAATCCAAATACAATAAGGTAAATAAAGATAATCATACGCGATAATTTCTAAGCCTTATTTAAAAGTCTTTCTGATTGTCAATTATTATGAAATTTTAACCCAATATAAAAAAATACTTTTAGAATATTCTATCAAAATTTTAACTTGATCTAATAATCCAATTAAAAGTTATGTTTAATTTATTAAATTGCATATTGAACTTCTCAAAATCTAAAAATCTCCATTTGCAAGTCGAGTTGTTCGGTTTTCTTATTTTGTTCCAACCGTCACTCTTTATGTCAACCGAAGATTCCTGCTACCTTTGTTAATTATCAGCCTAGATTCTAGCAGTTCCTGGTGAATTTCTTGCATCTGCTCATCAGCCTTCCTGCAATGCTTTTCAACTGCTTTCACCGTAGTGTTTTCCACCATCACTTGAGTTATACAATGTCGGAGTTGGTTTTCAGCCTTGAAGAGGCTCTAAAACCAATTGTTAATGTTAGACCTTAACAAGTTACTAAGAAGAAAGTTTAGAGGAAGAAAATGGAAGAAAAGGAGAGACTAAATGTTACTTTCGATCTTATTACTTGTCTTCCATGAAAATGCTTACAATGCTTATATACACAAGCTGCTTATTCTTCTAACAAATTAACTAATTCTCTAGTCAATCTTAACTGCATCTGACTACTTCTCTAACTGTCAACTACCACATTCAGCAGATGAATCACGTGTAAATAGTTCCGGTCAATCTTGTTACCAGTTTCATTGAATCAGCTTTTAGCAGCAACCTTTACTTCTCTTATGAACTATAGCAGTATATTTCACTCAATTACTGCAGGTCATGTGAAAAGGTTAGATGCTCTTGGTATTAATTATCAACAACTGGAAACACCAGTTTAAGCCAATATCAAAAATATTTCATTCCTATGAGCATCATCACTGAAGTGGACAGTTTATTATTCACAGATTAGACTGTTCTAACCAGTTTATTGCCGAATTGACACTCAATTATTGCAGGTCATGTACAGGCACACATTGTGTCTACTTAATAAGGGCTTCAGACAATGCTTCTCCATATTCATCATCCTCGTATATGCATTTGATACATCAACTACTTGTAGAGATAGGCTATCTGTTCGATACATCCACTACTTGTAGAGATCGGCTATCTGTTCTTTGTATAGCGCTACAACTTTGTCTCTTCGGATTTTCATCGTTGGGGTCATCAAGCCACTATCAATCTGCAATATAAAATATGTAATTGAGCAAAATGGCAGATGTTGCCTGAATGGGAGTGGCACTAGACTCAAGTGGGAAACCTACTGTAAAAGGCTCATCGATAACAAGGATTGGTCCAATTTGAAAACAACACCCTGATGTCCTGCTTGTAAGAGCATGGGATTGAACAATGATTAGTACATGATAGAAATAAATTCAATTCTTTTCCAAATACTCCAAGACTATTGCATCTATTATAAAGGAACAGAGAACTACCTGATAAATAGCTTTAATAAACACAAATGCATAGCTATGCACAAACAAAGAAGCAATCCCCACAGCAACCAAATCAAAGGAAAACATAAGGGTAATCTCCAAATTGAAGCAATGATTGAGAAACTAGGCTGTTCTTAAACTAGTTAGTGATAAAAGAAAGATATGAAGGAAAGTAGAGTCTTTAAAAATCTAGCAATGAAATCAATTTCTACATTTTTTTCTTTGCCATCCCCTGTACTTTTGATCCCACTCTAGCCTCAAATTTCCCAACGCAGATTGCAAGTGCAGGAAAATATCACTAGTGTAATGTTTCATCTTCCATCACTTTGCACCACCACCTCCCTCGGCACAAAACTCCCTTGTCTTTCCGTTGCACCCACGGTATCCTTTTATTTTGTTCTAAACTACCATAAAAACTATACAAAATGTCTTTATAGGTCAGATTATTCAGATTATTAAGTAAAAGAGCATTACCACTTCCTCAATTCTTCATATAGCAGGCTGGTGATCTGTTTCTTACTCAGCTCAGTGGCATCTGGATCTACAATGGACCGCTTTTTTGCAGCCTCTAGTACCTCATCTTTGTTGGGAACTACTATAGCTCCAAGACGACGCTGATCCTACAAACAATTTATGATAGTATATATAGACTACCAACTTACAAATGGAAAACCACTGGAGAGGACTAAATTTGAAATGTGCTCAAGACTTGAGGAAAATGATCATTGAAACAAACCTGGCCAATAACAACAATCTGTTGAATAAGACTACTCCTCATTGCAGCTTCTTCAAGCTCCAAGGGCTCGACATTTTCACCTATATTTTCTCCAAACAAGTTCAGAGGTAGAATTTATGATACTCTTGATAGGCAGAAAGATACACTGGAAAAGAAAACCTGAGTATGATGAAGATAGAGTATTTTTGTTCATGGGAAAAGGCAATGCCCATGCAATATTATATCTCCATTCAGAAGAAAATGAAACTCAGTACAGCCAAGAGCATAATAATTATGCAAAAACATTGTTATATTTTGGTAATTATCTGTAGATTGGGAAAAGGTACACTACAAAAAAAAGAAGCAATTAAATAGAAGATTGAAATAAGCAATGCTCATGGAAAAAATGGAACTTTTTGACACTGCTAACACTATTAACATCTCTTGATGAATTTATAGAAGATAAAATGAGAAATGGTAAGACAACAGGGTCAAATCTCGTGCATTTATCTAGAGACCATAAAATATTTTCATGCTATTTTTTTATTTTTTTTAGCATCTCACTTGTCACTTTTGAGAGAGGAAAAGGAGAGTTGTGGTCACAGCAGTGGTATAGAAGGAAAGCCATATGCTTCCAGTATACCTGTCAAAAGAACTATAGTATCCTTAGCACGGCCTTCAAGAACAATAACCCCTCCACAGTGACGGCTTCGCCCTCTTGAATGGTAAGGAGCTATCCAACCTATATCACCAGTGTTTAGCCAACCATCCTCATCTATGGCTTGCTTTGTGGCCAATGGATCCTAGTCAAAGATGAGCAAAAATGTCACTTGAATTAACTAAAATTGTGAGAAAGAAATAGTATCTTGACACAACAATTTAAAAACAAACTACACATTAAAAGCATCAGAAACAAAATTTTACAACTTGAATAATAATGCTTTTTAGTATGTACTGTAATGGGAATCTTAGTCTTACAATCCAAACTTATACTTTTCATCTTCAAACCATGATGATGATCGCAACTGCATTTTTCAGATGTATATTATCTCTTTTGATTGTTATGTAAACTCACAGGAATTTTTTTCATCCAAGAAAATAGGTTAGTGAAACATATTAAATGATTGCAAATACATGCCATCAACCATTATATTTTTTACTGAAGATCAGAAAGAACTATCACTACCATGGAATAAAAGAGTAACAAGTAATTTACTACCAAAAACAGGAAAAAGGACTCAAGTAGGATGGACAACATGACAACAGATCAATTCTCAAATTTAAGGCCATTGACAGCAGAATGGTTGGCCTCTGTCCCTAAACAAACGCAAGACTCATTGTATTTACGACTGCTTATGAATGATAGAAGGTAGCCTTCACTGTCACGTTGGAGATCAAGGTAATTAGAAACGTACATACAACCTCACATCCTTTAACTACTCTTCATTGTGCACAAGAGATAGAACTAGCACTGTTCTTAGTAAGTGAGCTAAGAACACATTTATTTCAAAGCTAGACCCCTTTTTTTTTTTCCTTCTTTGGATTTTTGGTGCTCCTGGAGAAACATAGCACATCCCATGTGTTTGAAGTCCTCTTTTGATTCATCAACATGATTCATGACACTGTTCTGGCAAGCCATTAGCCCCCAGCCCCCCGAGGAACCCAACTTTCAAGGAAGAGACCCGGTTTGAGATGAGTGTCCTAGCTAGTACACTGTGTTTTCATGGATTAATCATTGCCTATTCTTTAAGCCAGCCAAAAAAGATCAAGGATGGAAAAGGTCAAAGGTTCTATATGTCAAAAGAGTAATTTCACAGGATTCAGCTATATTATTTGTGTTAGCAGTACAATATCACAACACTTTTTTTAAAGATGAAGAGTTTTGTATGTAGGGATATGCTATTTTTCAGACACGGGTTCAGTATTTTAGATTGACGAGCATAGTTTAACTTTAGTTGAACTAAGTACAGTCTTAATTAAAAATATTCACTGAGAAGCTAGCGAGGCTTTTCTTGCAGAATTACAAAGTCCTCTTTTCTTTTGGGTTAAAATATATTTTACCACAAGTCTTACACATGTATAAAGAGACAAGAATTCAGAATATCCAACAAATAAAAATAAGCTTCAAAATTTCAAAGACAACGTTGAGTAATGTTTCATAACAAGTTTGCAATGTTTTTAGTGCTAAGCTCCAATGGAACCCCTAATGCACAAAAATCATGAAGCTCTTACAGAGACTCTTAAGAATTGAAAGTAAAGAAGCATCAAATCATCGAACTTAATAGTATTGCTGGAAAAGTCGAAATTGTGGATACTGATCAGACAGCTTTGAACAGTCCAATTAAGCCTCCAAATAAACCCCAGTTTACTCTACTTATATCCAAAACTAAAACCCCAACCAAAAATTCCTGAGCAGAGGGCAACCTGAATTGATCAGTATTTGAAAGTATATCAAGCAGAATAGTTTATATAAAACTCAGAACCTCAGAGAGCATTCTGCGTGCAATATGATATCATGAGTCAGCTTAATTTTGTGATGTTTCACAAAAAGGAAAAATATTACCAAACTATTTCATTGAGCATCAAAGCATTCCTTCCAGTTGCTATTAATAAACTGTCTTCTCTTGAAGCAATTATTACCTTGTAGTAGCCTTTCATCACTTGTGGCCCCCTAACTTTTACAATCCCTTTCGAGCCATGTGGAAGAGCTTCGCCAGTTTCAGCATCTACAATCTTAAATTCTGTATGCCTAATTGGAAGCCCAATTGAACCAAGAACCTTCAAAATTCAAATTCACGACAGCATTACATCCATGCAAGCTAATGGTAGATTATACATATATGATTCAAATAGTTAAGGAAATAGACTGAAAGTAGCCTATGAGGAAATAGAAAAAGAAGATACATGCAAATGCTAAATTGCAGATGTTGGTTAATGTAAGTTCAGAGAGACTGTGGAGAATATAAGAGAGGGGGAAAAATAAAGAAATCCCTCTTTAACCATCTGTAACACATTCAAGAAAGAGAACAAATTAACATGAGTGAGTAGCTAGAACTGCATAACCACTCCAAACCGATGTGATATGACAGCAAAGATGTCATTTCTAGGACATAGTGTATGGGGCTGATGTGCTATAGATCTCTATCCATGATTCCACCTATAAATTTTGAGATTATTGAAAAGGTGCAAGAGTTTCAACAATCTAAAATAATGGATGTATCTTACATTGTTGCTAGGTCGTCGAGCAGCGGTAACTGGAGATGACTCCGTCATACCATATCCATTCTGCACTACAACACCAATTGCCTGTGCACATGTAGGAGTTCTATAAGAGACAGTATCAGAAATATCTTGTTTAACCAGTCAAGAGTAATAAGCATCAGACCTCAAAAAACTTGTCAACATGAGAAGGTAAGCTACCACCTCCACTTACACCAGCCTGCAAGGTAGCAGATATGTCAAAGTGCTAAAAAAGATCCATGTATATAGTTAAGCAAAAAGGAGTTCAACAACATAATAGATATTAAAAATAATCATCACATCCTCGAAGGAAAATATCCACTGTCTAGCTGGCATCATTTATTTTGAGGAGGGAATCAGTTCAAATCCATCAAATGCATCTTCAAGTATCGAATAAATTGTTTCAGAATTGGCATCAACTCAAAATCATTTTTTCAAGAACCAAGTGGAGAGGTCTAGGAAAACATTTTCTATCAGATAAAGGAGAGCTAATAATGAAGCATTAAGTCAAACAAGAACTTATTAGATAAACCTTGCTTATTCCAATTGCTGAGTGAATTTTACAGTAAACAAGCTTCTTAGCCAACATATGCACTGGCAACAATATTGCAGCAATGATTCTTGCCCATAACCAGTCCAGCATTGAAACAAAATACAATGGTTCCTTCCTAGACCTCACAAGATAAGTTCCCTGCCAAAGAAAATAAAATTCAAAGCAAATTGAGTGGGAAAGCAGGTCTCATTCACAACCCTGATTGAAATTGAAGCAAGGAATATATTGAGCATGAAACTAGGTTTTAATCAATTTGAAGCAGGGAAAATAGAAATGTTATTCAGAAAAGCCACAAGAGCATCCAACATGCAATATATCTAGACATGGATCCTTGAATTATTGGCACCCAGCCTCTTTCATCAAGAAAATTTGGTCCAGGAAACCGGCAGCTAGATCAGTTTGTGTACTGCAAGCAAAGCATGTTTTAAGATCACATCCTATGGAAGCATTTAAGTGTAGAGCAGAGCCAAATAATGGGCAGGCTCCCACCGGGTTTCATGAAATTCACTGGCACGCAGTGCATGAAGCTGTGTATGCCAGTGTGCTTGAGCAGTTGTATGGTAACAAGAGAAGCAGTTACATCATGTAAGAGTCACAAGAGCAATATTAACTTGGAAGCAGATGGTAGCAATGGTACGTCTGAATTTGTTCCACTGATTCAATTATACAATAAAAAGAATTGAATTGATTATATAGTGAGGGTTACTGGAGAGGTAACTATACATATATTTTATCAAAAAGTAAATCTCCTCATAACATAAAAAAAAAATGTTAAAACTGAATATAACAAAATCAAGAGGTGACTTAATCATCCTTCAAAAATACATGGAAACGTAATAAACTTGGAGCCTAACAAAGTTTTATTTACATGCTATGAAAATATAGGAAATAGAGTGAAAAATAAATGAGGCATGCAATTTCAAACTATCAAACCTCATGAATTCTTTTCATCTCCATGTATGCCAAGCTGATCTTTATGAACATAAATGCAAGAAACTTACGAAGAGTGGAGCTTGTAGAAAGCTGTTTTTGTATCCCACTGTACAGTTTGAGGAACACATGAATAAGAAAATAATTCACCTGACCAGGACGAGCATATGGTACAACAAAACAAAACAAGCAATTCATGATTCATTAACATAAGCAACTCACTGCAAATCCAATGGTAAAGAGAAGAAATATGAAGCTGCAAATTTTTTAGAAGGGTTGCACTTAGTTCAACCTCTCCTCCATCAGTGATTAAGAATTTGGGCTTCTTGTCAAAGAGATGATGACGGGGACATCTGACCCAAGACACGGTTCACATGTCTGTATAATCAACGATAATAGGGGATAGCCCAACCCTCATGTTACTGGATTAGAAGATTGGGCTCATCCAAACCCAAGTTATCAGATTTTATTTATTTTTATTATTGGATTTCAATTTATGTTATTTTATTATACTTTTATTAGTTAGTGGATTTTAAGCCCAAATTGATTATGATTAGGGTTTTATTATTTATATGTGATTTTCTAAACATTACAATCAGTTTTTGATGATTAAATAAAAATGACAGACTTTTCCCTTCCTAAATTCTCTTTTCTTTTTGGCTTTTTCCTTTTTTTACTTTTAATTCTTAGCTTCTTTTTTTGTTGCTCTAATTCTTTTTGTTCATTGTTCCGTATCAACTTTGATATTAAAGCTTAGGGTTTTAATTGTTCTTACAATTAAACGATCTATAGGCTTGTTTAAATTCATTGATATTCAATCCAGTTCATAAACCCTTAGATCTGGTGGGAAGCTTTCAACAAGGAAAAAAAAAATTGTAGCAAACAAAAATATGTTTTGTTTGCCTTTTCCAGTTTACAATCAAAATCTAAAACAAAAAAAAAATGTATTTTTCATCTTCTCCACCAACGACAGTCATCCATCTGAGCAAATTCTCCCAACAACCACCAAGATCCATAACAGTTGTCACAGTAGCCAAATCAATTTGTCTTCAACAATTGTGTCTCACGACGGCAACACCACAATAGAGAAAGACCTACTGCCACATTCAACTTAACTGACAGTTGCACCTCCACAACCATAGTATAAGAGAAACAACACCACAAGGTGATTAAGGTTTCTAGATTTTTTTCATTTTTCAAATCTTTTTGCTTAAGCTTTTTCTATTACATTGTGAGAGTATATATAAAGAGATGCTGAATATCTATTTACAGGAATTCCATGATTCTAGCTTTTTGATAGATTGGTTATTATGGCTTGATTTCCATAATTCCAGCTCTTTGTCAGATTGGCTATTATGGCTTTATTATCTCTTGTTAATGAGATGGTTGTAACCGAAGGACTAATGGCATGATCAGTGGTTGGAGTCTTTACATTTTGATTTTCTCTTGTTGATGGAACAGTTGTAACCGAAGGAGCATGATCAAACACTGGATTCTTTACACGCCCCCTCAATATGAGCTCACCATCAATGATTTTGATCTTGGTTTGCAAATGGGTGAATTTTATGCAAGGTAGTGCTTTAGTCAAAAGATTTGCTAGTCGGTCATGAAAGGATACATGATGAACCTAAAGAAGACCTTTTGTAACATAGTCACGTACAAAATACAAGTCAAGAACGATGTGTTTCATTGTGGAATAATGAACAAGATTGTGGCTGAGTTGTGTGGCGCCCACATTATCACAAAGAATTTTAGGAATGTAGGGAACAGTCAGGTTGAATTTGAGTTCTCAAAATAATGAAGAGAGCCAACCAAGTTTTGATGCAATGGCAGCTAAGGCTCTGTATTCTGCTTTTATTTGAGGAGCGAGCAACTGCACATTGCTTCCTTGGGCTCCACGAGGTTGGCTTTGGTCCTAGGAAAACAATGTAGGCACTGGATGTACGATCATCTACATTTCCTGCCTAATCAGCATTTGAGTATGCTGTGAGGGAAATTGATTAAGAAGATCTAAGGTGAAGACCATGATACAAGGTGCTTTTTAGGTAACGAAAGAGTCGCTTTATAGGAGACCAATAAGAGTGGGTTGGTTTATGCATAAATTGTGCTAGGCAATTGGCAGGGAATGATAGATCAAGTTGTATGAGAAAGGTATTGAAAGGCACCAATGACACTCCTGAAAATGGTGGAATCAGTGGCAACAAACCCATCATGAACTTGCGAAGTTTCTGATGTGGAAAGAATTGTTTAGGTTGGCATAGCTCCATCAAGTTTGTAATGGGACAGTAGATCATGGATGTAGATGTGTTAACTTAAAAATAAGCCTGTGTTGGTAGGAATCACCTCAACACCAAGGAAATAATACAAGTTGCCGAGATCATTGAGATTAAATTGATGCCCCAGGAATTGAATGATAGTATCCAGTTTGGAGGAGTTGTTTCCTGTGATTATAAGATCATCAACATAAACCAAACAATAAGCAATATTGCATTCACGATAATATAGAGAGTGATAAAGCTGTCTTAGAATGTGTGAAGCAAAGGGAGTGAAGTCCTTTACTTAGAATTTGATACTAGGCACAAGATCCTTGTTTCAGGCCATATAAAGATTAGCGAAGTTTGTAGATGTAATAAGGTTTGTAAGCATTAATGAAGTCCTGTGGTTATTGCATATAAATATCATAATCTAGGATGCCATGAAGAAAAGCATTGTGTTTATATCAAGTTGTCAAAGTGGCCAGTTGCAAGATGTCGCTAGTTATAAGATGGTTCTGATGGTAGTAGGTTTGATGACAAGAGAGAAGGTTTCATGATAATCAATTCCATGTTGTTGATGGAATCCTTTGGCCTCTAACCTCGCTTTGTATGTGGCTATTGAACCATTTAGATGCCTTTTAATTCTGAAAACCCACTTGCAGCCAACAGGATGAATGTGAGGAGAGGGTGGAATCAGTTCCCAAATACCATGTTTCACCAAGGCATTGAATTCCTCACTCATGGCATGCCTCCAGTGATGACTCTTTAGTGCTTCACGCACACTAATCGAAGTAAAGGAGTCAGCTAAAGGACGTTTCATAGCAGTATAAAGCTTTTTTGGTTTTGTGAATTTGATTCATACCTCTGGTGATCATGGAATGAATACGTTGATCCAAAGAGGAACTCAGTTGGGGGGCTGCAATGGGCAAGGACGTTGTTGGAGCAGTTGCATCCACGGATGGAGAGAAGATATCTAAAGATAAAGTTTCTAGAGTAGGAGTGAAGCATTGGAAGTAGCAGTGATGACATTGGGAGTAGTGGTGGGGCTAGGGCTGAAGGTATCGTAATGGTTAATTATGTTGTCTGAGGGAGGCTTTGGTAAGGGAGATATGTAGATGCGATGTATTTGAGTATCTAAGCACAGATATTGGTAGAAGATCCCACAAAGATAAATGATTTTGATTTTGGTTTTCCTTTGTGAGAATTAAACGGTTTCAACTATGGGTAGCATAGGCAACCAAAGATCCTAAGCTTATTATAATTTGGTAATTGGTTAAATACGCATTCAAATGGGGATTTGTTCTAGAGGATAGGTGTAGAAAGTCTGTTGATAAGGTTTTGATTTTGGTTTTGCTTTGTGAGGATTAAATGGTTTCAACCATAAGTAGCATAGGCAACCGAAGATCCTGAGCTTATTATAATTTGGTAATTGGTTAAATAAGCATTCAAAGGAGGGTTTTTTCTAGAGAATGAGTGTTGGAAGTCTATTGATAAGGTAAACTGTTGTTTGAAAGGAAAGACACCAGAATTTTTAGGGTAGATATGCTTGGGTGAGCAGTGTCCTATTCTAGTTTCAACAATTTGATGATGTGGAAGTTTAGAAATACCATTGTGTTAAGAAGTGTGTGTGGGAGTAGTGAGATGGTTGATGTCATGTTTATTTAGGTAAAGTTCTAAGCTTATGTATTCACCATCATTGTCTGAGTAAAGGTGTGTGATTTTAAACTCATATTTCTTTTCAAGTAAAGCATGCAGTCGTAGAAAGATTGTGGTAATATCATATTTAAGGATCATGGGAAAAAGCCAACAATAGCGTGTATAATGGTCAATAAAGATGGCGTAGTATTTAAAACCTTTGTAGGAAGAAGTGTGAGTTGGTCCCCAAATATTTGAATAAAGTATTCCACGTGTGCTTTTAATTAATCATTTACACTTAAGGGTCTAGTATTCTATGCTTAAAATTTTATTAGTGTATTTTGTTCCTGATTACTCTCCACATTAAAAAAAAATAGCTTTATTTTTGTATTGTGATTTTATTTGCAAAAACCATTCATGATCTCAATTCCATTTCTAAATCAATATTGCATGCATTTGTATCATGATCATCTAGTGTCCAAGTTTAAGTTTACATTTACGGAGACCCGATCCTTAGTGATACTCTTATGGTCATTTAAAAGAAACTGCAAACTTAAATGATCAACATATTTAAAAGACTTGAGCCCCGAGAAAATTCTCAAATAAGACACCTAAAAATCAATAAATATCACAAGAATAACCATTATGGGCAAGTTCACCCTAAGCGCCATAGTATGACTATCATTTAGATTATTTTAAGCATGTTGATCATCTAGTGTCCAAGTTTAAGTTTACATTTACAGAGACCCGATCCTTAGTGATACTCTTATGGTCATTTAAAAGAAACTGCAAACTTAAATGATCAACATATTTAAAAGACTTGAGCCCCGAGAAAATTCTCAAATAAGACACCTAAAAACCAATAAATATCACAAGAATAACCATTATGGGCAAGTTCACCCTAAGCGCCATAGTATGACTATCATTTAGATTATTTTAAGCATGATGATCTTGATGAATGACCTATGAGTCCTAACAAAATAGAAGCTCCCGCTCTTGACAGCCGTCGTGACCCCTGGATATTTGATATGTAGATTCGTGACATGGATCAATTATTTGAGTGGCATAACTTGTATAATAATAGGAAAGTTAGATTTGTTACGATGATGCTCATTGTTGAAGCCAAACTTTATTGGAGAGATGTTAAAGGATTTTTTAGAGATGAGAGGTAAACCTCTTATAACTGATTAGATCAAAATGAAACAAAAATTACAGAAAAAATATCTACTCCAGTCTTATAGGAATAAACTCTTATATCAATAGAACAATTTAAAACAAAAGAAAAAGTCTATCAATGAGTATATAACAAAGTTTAACGATTACATGATGAGATGTGCTATATGAAAAAATGAAGTCGTGACTTCGCATTGATTTTGTAAAGGTTTGAATGATGGTTTTATAAAAGAGGTTAGGCTCATTGGTGTTTCCACTCTTGACCAAGTCTATACTATAGTGCAAGATTATAAGTTGCTTATAAAGAGTCAATGAACAAAACATCAGGACCCTTTTAGGATCCTTTTTAGGTCTCAATTTAGAAATAATGATTCTTTATTAGATGCTCCACCCTGTAAACTTGATCCTAGTTGTGCTCAAATTTATAACGAAGATAAAGGAAAAGGAGTCGTTAATGAAACGTCTAGGTTGAGTTCAGAGATTTAGTGTTAAATGTCAAGATTTCAGTCATATGTTCTATAACTGCATCTCTAAACCCTTAGTCATTCAAAAACATATGGACATAGGTGAAAAGAAAAATTAATATGTGTGAAAAGAAAAATTAATATGTGCAAGTGTATGAATTCAATCCTAAGAACTTTAGTAATCTAGATAAAGAGGATGTGCATGAAGTGGGGCTTAACATTATAAGTCCAAATGAGTCTGAAAATAAGGTTAATAAAAAAAATATATATACTTTAGTGGTAAAGGAAGAAGTTTTAAAAAACTCTTTAATGGAATTTCCCCAAGAGGAAAATATGATATTTAAAGAGTCTCATGATATTCGTCCTCTTAAACTGCCCGATTCCCTCACCACCATACTTGACTTCCATCATGTCAAGGGTTTAAAACAAGATGCTCCTCACCCTTCTATGCTTGACGTCCAGCATGTCATAGGTTTAGAGCAACATGTTAAGCTTCATTATCTCTTACCCCTAACACGTGATGAGAAAAATGAAAATAATCATAATTTACTAGGTTATGTCCAGACTATATCTAATAAGGCTTCAAATAATGCTTGTTCCACTCCGCACCCTCAATTATATAGTGTTCATAGTTACAAACCTAGGAAGCTTGTAGATCTTCTTGTCTCCTTACTCTAATATGTCTGATTCAGCTGAGTTTTTTACATATAGAGTTTATAATTTACATATTGAGATCATAAAACATTTTCATGCAAGTATTGAACAATACAAATTTCGAGTTAATTTACATAAGTATCATGATGAACTTAATGTTAGAGATGATTTCATGATATAGATTAGACTTGAATGGTGTCCTTTGAAAATCGGTCATAAATTGCTAGTGTTAGATCATTCAAAGTGTTGTAAAGAATTGAATCAAATAATTATATCATTAAAGTGTCACTCAACCTTGATATTAGCTTTACTTTTGATATAAGGGACCTTGTTATATATAAAATACAACAACCTAGTACTGGTGATCCTTTGGAACCTTTTCCTCGTTATCCTTATCTTTGGCATAAAAAGAAATTATTAATGCTACTTTAGATGCACAAATTGTTTTTTCTAAGGATAGCGAATTTCACCAAATCTCAATACATGAGCTAGATAACCAGATTTAGATTGTAATTGAATTATTAAAGAGACATTACAAAAGCTTGATCATGATCTTTGAGAACATTATAGAAGCAACCTTGTCCTATACTTGACGAGGTCGAGTTTTTCCTATCCCGAGAGAGTTGATGAGAACATTAGACCCAAGACATGATTCACACGTCTGTATAATCTATGATGATGGAGGATAGCCCAATCCTTGTGTTATTGGATTGGAAGAATGGGCTCATCCAAGCCCAAATTATCAAATTATATTTATTTATTTTATTGGACTTCAATTTATGTTATTTTATTAGACTTTTATTGGTTAGTAGGTTTTAAGCCCAAATTGATTATGATTAAGGTTTTATTATTTATATGTGATTTTCTTGACATTACAATCAGTTTTTGATGATTAAATAAAAAATAGTAGACTTTTCCCTTCCTGAATTCTCTTTTCTTCTTGGCTTTTCCCTTTCTTTGATTTTAATTTTTTCTTTAAAGCTTCTTTCTTTCCTGCTTTAATTCTTTACTTCTAAAGAAATAGTTTTTTGTAAGTAAGCCTCCCCCACATCCACCTACCCCTGCCTTTTAGAATACAAGAATGGCTTAGACTTATCAACGATCAAATCCATGGCTAATTTAAGTAGCTAGTGAGTCATATTTCAGTTTTATCCCAAGTCAACAATTCAATATGAAAACTAATCCTACTTTATATATTGCATAGTAACCATTCAATGTCATAGCTCCAGTGAAAAAAATTAAAAAGACAAATAAAACAAAAAATATCCCAAAGAATGATTGCTGCATTATGCAAATCAAAAGCCATAATGACACAAAGTCTATTTTATTTAATAAATGCTCAGGAATCTTTCACATGGAGAATTTATTCGGATCTTAAAGAAACACTAAAAGGAATGCAGACACTTTAAAACATGTGTGAAACATGTCAATCAACGTGTGTTTGTGTGTGTGTTAATAGAAATATGATGCTTTCCAATGATATTTGATCAACTTCTAACAAATCCTTGACTCAAATTAAGTGTTAATCCTTGGGATGGGTCTGCCTTCTCCTTTTCTATTCTTTGTATAAAATTGGTAGTTAGATCGCATAAAATGTATTGAATATTCACTAAAATCCGTTATTTTACTTGGATCAATCTTTTAATACATTGGCAACCATGGCTTAGATGATATTTTACAATCACTAGATAGGTAGTTTTAATCTCTTTTGCAAGTTTCTTGACCTTAATAAATGAAATATTAGTTTCCATGTGAAGTATCAAGCAAAAAAAAGACCCTACAAATTTCTCCAAGTAGCAATGCATTAGATTGACGTAATATACTAGACTTGCAGCAGAAAAAAAAAAAGATAAAATATACTGGACAAACCTGTAAAGAGTCTCAAATACTAAAGGAACAGTGATCAAATAATGTGGCTGATATTGTTGCAGATCAACCTATCGAGTAAAATTCATTGCAATTAAGCCATAGTAAAAATGAACAGTCTATAGAATGAGTGATGGCAACTGATAAGATATTGTATCATTTTGAAAGGTTAATACCTTTAAATTCCTGACAGTAGTGTATACTTGCTCAGTTCCACGTGTAAATAAGAAATATTCAGCAGCTCGCTCATATGCATGCCAAGGTGGAAGCATACTCAGAAATCTGTCTGCAGGTTGAGCAGGCAACACATCCCACAAATTATTTATCTGGAAAACAAGGGAAATTGTAAATTGACTCAACATTAAGTTAACCAACTTTTGATTTCAACTGTAACTAAAGACCCAATTCAAAGGGCCATACTTAGTTTTGAAAGCTGTTGTCATTCTCAGTCAACTAAAGGCCCTCTATGAAGCCATAAATCTGAAGAGCATGTCACAACAAAAAGATGGTCTCCTCACTATATTTTTGATAAAGGGTTCCAATACAGCATTGTGAATTCTTTCATGTTTGTTTGTCTATGTCATGGCCATGGCCTCATTCTTCTTTTATTTATTGATGACAACATTCTCACCCATAATGATTTTTCTCAGTAGATGAGCATCTAAGTTTTTTTTTCCTGGCTTGCTCTTCCAAATTCAGTGTAGCAGTTGAAAATTTTCCAAGTAAAAGAGGCCAAACAACAAAGGAAATTTACATGTTCTTCTGTTTTCACTGAAATTGAGAGAATTTGAGCTCATTGGATACCATGAAATATCAATAAAGATAAAGGACAGGACAGCTCCTATAAACCTAGTACATCTTCAAAACGAAATAGCAACACATGCACAATGATATACTGTAACAGTGTAATGGTTCGACTGGATTTAGATCCCAATTAAATCTCTAACCATTGATCTCCTTCGAATGGTTTGATGAAGAAGGTGGACTTTTAAATAATTGAATTTGAATTTGAGGCATGAGAAATGAATATTCGTTGTAGAAACAAGGATTTCCCTTAAAGACAAGCAAAATAGGATTAAAATAAGGAGCTCCTTTCAGCTTCCTAGATTAATGTGCCTTCAAAGGATTGAGTGCAAGGGAATATCATAGCATGCTTGATGAGGCTAGTTGTACAGTGCAAGGTTATTAGGAATGGTGAGCTCAGCAGATAATGATCTAGGAAAGGAATAGCTCTTTTTACATATTGTTTTCCTCTATTCTCTGATTTTTCGCTGTTACTAGAGTAGAATTAAGAATTAGTTCTTTGCTAGGATTAAAAATATATATATTTTTATCATTAGAAAATAAGATTTGCAAGAGAATAATTTGGAGCAGGGAACATCAACCAAAAGTTAAATGAATAAAGGAAATAAGCAAAAAGATAGAGAATAACTACAAACCTGGTGCAGCAGATTCTTATGAGTAAGCATGACACCTTTTGGATTTCCAGTGGTTCCGCTAGTATAAACAAGTGTAGCAATATCGTCAGAGCTTATTGTTTCATATTTATAGTGCTGCCCTGCAATCATTATCAATAGAAATTCATAAGATAATCAATCAAAGGAAAGTGAGGCATTGTTCCTTTTTCCCCTCTTTTTTTTTCAACTAGTATGGAACTATATTATTTCGCAAAAAAATAATATAAAGTTTATTTTGTGTTTTATATGTATTTCACAGTAACATACAGTAAACTGGACAGGCAGGGTGACCTATATAAATTGAACACAACACCCTCCACCAAAAGCAGCACAATGATGCAATCACTGCTTGACAAGTGATATAAAAGTTTACATATTCCTTGTAACCCTGTAATATCGTGAACAATGATGACATGATGAGCGATAGTGACAGAGACAGTTTTCTTAGCCTCGTTGATCCACAAACTGGCTTGCACATGCACAAACACAAACACAAAAACTACAGATGTATTGCATATGCATGTTCGGCTAAATAGAAAGTAAAGCCACTTTGAGCATAAAAATCACCACTAATGCTTCTAATATGACCACAACATACTAACAAGCCAATTTGAGCAGCGTGGCAATTGAATTCATTATTAGATTCTTGTTTCCATCCTAACAAATACCTCAACTGCATAAGCTTGGAACCATGAAAAATATATGGAAATTTTGTCTGATACACATGGTTCAACCTAACTGGTTATGGGTTGCATCATGATTCAGGCATAAAGGAAAACTGTTTCAGCCTTTGAGTTTTCTCAAATATTCTGGCATTCTCCCTACAACATATAATCCACAACATGATTACAAAACATTCAATACCGAGCTTCCATTTAGTCTCTTAAAAGATGCTTTAAGTAGTCAAGCGTTCACAGCAGTCAGCCAACAAGAAAACCTCTTCATGTAATATGAAACGGGGATTTAAAATATAAATATAAAGTCAAGGATCTCACAGGAAGAAGTGTGCTAGATGATTCATAACATAATACACATATACACTCTTCATACTTATTTTCAAATTGAGCAACTTACTCGCATCATCAGAGTCTGAGAAGGTTTTACAGCTCTCTTGCCCCAAATCTATAATCTCCTTGTAACTGAAAATAGGTATGCCCTCCATTCTGTTGATGGCAAGGTGTGACTTCTCTCCCCAAAGTAAAATGACAAATCTGGGAGCTGCCTTGGAAGAAAATGTTTCTACAATTCTATTGAACAATTCAGCATTGTCTACTGCAAGTGCAACACTGTAGTAATAATTCAGAAAATCAGCAATACCACTAGTGCAATCATAGATTGAATGCAAAAGGAATCCTGAAACTCTAGAAAAATAATTGTAATACCATTATCACAGCAATTCAAATATCATTGATTAAAACAAATTCAATGCATATTAGGCAAGTGTGTCTGTTGGTGATATATGGACTGCCAGCCAAAACCAACATTGTCTGACCCAATCCAAATCAACAAATTTTTATAGTGTATGACAAGTCTGGCCAGTTGTAGAAAAGCACAAGCTCAGTAGCTTAGCGGGGGTAACAGAATAAAGTTACAAAGACACCATTTTATTCTCAACTTAGTACTTGAAAGTTAATATTCTGAGCCAAGTACTAATCAAAATACAAATTTATTCAGTTTTTATTTTCTGCACTATCAATAGCACTGCTTTCTCTATTTTTCCAATCAATGTGCCATTGGTTTCTTTATCTTCTATATCCTATAGTTGCATTACCATAAGCCCAAGTCTTTCCCTATAATTTCAAATCCTAAAGCCCCTAACTTACAAGTTTTACCCCCAGAATTAAGGAAATGGTGGGAGGAGTATCGAAATATACACATTTCCTTAGGTTCTACAAAAAACTAAACTGGCTTACAATTAATCTATGAACACTTAACCATCCTCAGTTATCATCCATGTATAAAATGTAGAAATGATATACATAAAATGGAAGGTTTTCTTGCAAACCTTTCAGAGTGAATGTATATTTGTAATAGCTCTTCAATAGATGATCTTGATCCCCTCACCACATCAACTGCTCCCATGGCCATCATACCTAGGACAAATATCAATAAGATATATAGAAAATGGTACGATTACCATGCATCATCGTACTTTACGCATCAAATGAAATAATAAGCCAACAAAGATTCTTTAAAGAGGAGCACATGGACACTGCAAAATGGAACACCTTCTTCCCTTCCACAATTAAAAACCTGGGACATTCAGGCTTCTTTTTTATTTTAATGATATCCATGTGTACAGGCAGCATTTTAACAATAAATTTCCCAGTTTCTCTGGGCCCAAGAACATTGTTGAATCCATGATTTGTTCAAGGCAACAAAAAAAAAAAAATCTGGCACATATGGATTAAAAAGTTCGATAAAAAATGTTCAAAGGTTCTAAATCTGTCACATTTTACCTTTTAGGAGCACTATGGCATCTTAATATATATATAAAGAATTTTTAAGCCTTTAGGAAAGGCTCTAAGCAGCTATTGAAATATTATATACCAGAAAGTGGCTATTCAAAAGCTTCATGCACTCAATGATTGCAAATTACAATTATCCATTTCCTTGCAAATGATTTGTAGTGGTAATAAAGAAAAGGGTCAAACTATTTTATTTTGAGTTCTTTACTCCGGTATTACAAACAATGACAAACACTAGCCAAAAACATCCTGCTAGTGGCAATAACCCTCTAAAGGTAAAACTGAAATGCTCGTGCATAGTGAAAATGCTAAGACATAAACCATAAGGGATGGGGGAAGAGAACAACATAGGATAAGGAAGAAATACACTGACTTTAGCAATAAGGAAGACAAATTTTAAACTGCAAGGTACCTTGATCTGTAACAAGCCACCGGTATGAATTATCAGCAAAAAGTGCAAGTTTCTCATCTGGCTTAACTCCAATAACCCTCAAGCCTTCAGAAAAATGCAAAATTTCCTGCTCCAACTGCAATTTTGAAAGAAAAGGAACTGTTTGATGAGAAAGCAGTTAATTTAGCACCCATTAACTTGTTTTCCAAGAACATGAAAGAGATCAAATTAACTTGTTTTCCAAGAACATGAAAGAACTTTCATTCCATATCAGGCAAAGAACAAGGGTCCAATTCAAAATATGGTACAGACCAATCAGCAGGAATGAACCTTCACAATTTATCACAACAAGTGGAATCAATGGGTGCTCTTTTCTTCAAATAACAGTGATATTGTACACATATAGATCACATATCATACCGAGCAAGCAACTCACTTATAGATCAAACAAATATAGAACCAAACGCAGAAACATTTATGTTTCTTTCTTTTCTAACATAGAAATGGAGCGTGTATCTTTTAATGAAAAAATTATTTTCAGTATAAGGACCTGGACCCTGGTTGTGGGAAAGGACCTATCCTCTTACCAGCCCAATTTTTGTGTGGTTGTAAGATCATTTACTTCATAACAATTAACTTCATCCATTTACCTCATTTCGTTACGATTTCCTGTGGAAATGGAAAAAAGCAGAGAGCTGAAGGGAGAGCACTTCCAATATATTTGTGTTTTAAAAGAGGATTGATCAAGAAGTAAGACCATTAACAATTTAAAAGTAAAGCATTTGATGTATAGGATACATAAATCATTATATGTGCATCATATTTTGAACTCCAGAACTAGAGTAGTCTGTTGAGATTTGATATGGTCCTATCAGACCGAAGAGACCACCATTCATCCATATTGCTTAATAATGATCGATATTCCCCAGGAAACTTTTAATAACACTGCCAATATTTTCTTAGTGCTCAACCAAAAAAAATATATGATTTCCATGATTCTTGATAATTTTTACAAAGCTCAACCTCATCACAATGAACCATAAAAGTTTCAAAAATTCTCAAGTAAAAGAACACGCCCATACTGGAGCACAGTATCCATGTTTGTGTTTGCAAATTCCAAGCTGACTTAAAATCATGTAAAAAGCATGCATCTCAGCAGTGCATATCAATGTAGTCAAAGAACTGATATGGGTCATATAGCTAACATGACATATATTGCACCAATTCAAATTTGTTATGAATTAAGTTCATAATCTTATAGCTCCAAGCACTATACTGGAAAATGATTTTTGGATACATTCAATCACTTGAGCTGTGTGTAGAAAGAACATAAGTTACACTGAGGACACAAATTGTTGCTTAACGTGCTTCTCAAGGAGATACATAATCACAACAAACTAAATTTATATTGGAAATTTACCTGTTTATATGTAAAACTTGTAGGTGGATCATGATATGGATCCACCACTGCAATCCGATCACCATATTTCTCAGCTGAAGACCTCCAAATGTCAGGAACAGCTCTCCAATCATCAGAGGTCAAGGCACCATTGCTGGAAACTAGGGTCCTTTCTAGGTAAGGTGAACACCTTCTTATCTTAATCTCCTCTGTCTAAAGGAAAAATCATAAGAAAAAAAAAAAAAAAAACTACATTGACAAAAGTGAAAGCCTAAGCACTCCTAATCATATTTCCTGTGAGTATACAATAAACTTTAAACTAAAAACAAGTTGACGAGAGCGAAAGCCTTTTCATTAATCAATAAAACAGCATATTCATGACATGATAATAAGGGAGAGCATTAAGGAAGCTGGTTTCTCTTCGTTTAATTTCTCAACTCACAGGCCCACGTTTCCACAATTGAAATTTCCTTGTCCGGGTAAAGAGATAATGCTGCCATACCCACATGACCAATGAAGTAAATACCCATGGAAAACGTACTATGTTGTTGTCACAATCACAATAAGTACAAGAAATAGAAAAATCATTTAAAAACAGAAGTTCCTCACCAAAAAAATTGGTGTCTAATTAGTTGAAAATTAAATATGCAAATATTATTCCGCAAATGTTTAGAAATTAATGAAATGGTCTAACAGCAGAGAGAAATTCAGGCCAACAGACTTGAAGGCGACCATTGAAATCAGAATGACATTGACGAGCGGGTGGCACAGTTATGTAATAAGATATATTCAGTGCTGTCATCACATGTGAGCACTGAAGGACCTACATTCCAAGAAAATAGTTGAGACCCGGGACCGCAGTTAATCCACAGCTTCCGCAAATCCCAGTTGGCCTAAAATCTCAATTACACTTTGTATTTCTTGCAAGAACAATTAATTCCAACCTAAATTCCTCGTATAATCTCCCATTCCCAATCCATTTGACAGCTTAAATAATCAGAAATATAACTATTTCCAAATATTCAATCATACCAAAAAAACAAGAATATAACTGATAAGGCATTTATCAGCTGTTAACAGCTAAAACCAAAAGCTAAAGAGTGATGGGCATCACTTCATCTAATAATAGCACAATTCTTAAGAACATAACAGAAATTCACACCTGAATACAAAAGAAAAGAAACGAGTTTGCACATATAAAACATCACGTAAAGAACCCACAAAAAAAAAAAGATAAATCACAAGATATGCTTGTTTCTATACAAGCTAAATTCAAAAGGGTACGTGAATTACCTTGGTTTCGCAAGAAAGTCGAAATCCTCGACGTGAAGAGAGCCCATTACTGAATCTTTTATGGAAAATCTTGGAGTTCTTGAAATTATAATGAGGGACCAAGAATTGAAAAGCAGCATGCCTTTTACTGAAATCAGCACCACCAAAATTAGAGCTAAAAGTTGAAGAAACCGTTGACATTCGATTCGTTGGAAAGGAAGACACAGAAAGCACTGTGGCAGTAGTCATCGGATTCATCAAAGCAGCAACAACCACCAAACCGACACAGACAAATGTTGAACAGTGTCTTTTAATGTGTCCGTAAATAAATATATGAAGGGTTAGAAAAAAAAAAATGTTGCGGGATTAGCGCGGCGATAGAATCTACGTTTTTTTTTTGTTTTAATTCGAAGTGTTTGACCAGCTTACTGATGTATACCATAACCAATTTTGAAATTCATTAAGACTACTTTTGTTTTAGGAAAAATATTTCTTGAAAAACCATTTTCTAAACTTTTTTATATTTATTTATTATTAAAAAAATTGATCAACAAAAAATATTTTTCGGTTAATATAAAGTACTTTCTAATTAATGGAAAATACTTTCCAATCAATGAAAAACACTTTCTGGACGAAAATATTTTTTAGTCATAAAAAATTTAACTTAATTTTCAAGAAAATATTTTCCTTTTTAGCTGTGTTTATTTTCCGGAAAGTGGTTTATAGGAAAACACTTTCCAAACTTTCTTGTGTTTGTTTTTCAGAAAGTGATTTCTAAGAAATCACTTTCTAAACTTTCTTGTATTTGTTTATTGTTAAGAAAGTTGATAAATAGAAAACATTTTCCAGTCAAAAATTTGGCTTGATTTTCAAGAAAGTGTTTTCCTGAAAAACTTGAGAGGAAAACACTTTCCGGAAGTTGTGAAAAATTTAGAAATGTCATTATTTGCTGATTATATCAAATTTGATCCTCAAACTTTTGATTG